CTCTCTCTCTCTCTCTCTCTCTCTCTCTCTCTCTCTCTCTCTCTCTCCATATATATATATACTGTAATAATATAATACATATTGAACATTATTATTGATATTGTTTATCTTATTTCTTTATATATTGTTTTTAACATTTTAGGAACTTTTTGTGTGAATCTTTTTATCTGTTGCTGCTGTTACACTTGATTTTCCCATCTGTGGGACAATATAAGCTGTTTCTATTCTATTCTATTCTATTCTATTCTATTCTATTCTATTCTTTTCTATTCTTTTCTATTCTATTCTATTCTATTCTATTCTATTCTATTCTATTCTATTCTATTCTATTCTATTCTATTCTATGCAGATTGTGAAGAGGGTGGGTCCTAAGACTGAGCCTTGTGGTATGCCATTGTTGACAGTTAAATAGCTAGAAGAAGTACCATTATGTTGAACACATTGCTTTCGATCTGAGAAATAATTAGAAAACCATCTGATAGTGTGATCTGAGAAACCAATGTCTGAGAGCTTATGACAAAAGACATGGGTGTCAAACTCACTTACAAAAGGGAGCCAAAATTAAAACCTTATAAGGGCCAAGTTCAGAATCTACATTAACTCAAGTTAGATACCCGACATCTTTTCTTGGTCACAAGTTCCTTAACAATAGTTTGATTGGTCTCATTTGATGTTCTCTGTTGTGGTTTCAACATCATAATCAAAGATTACTGAAAAAAATTCAAGAGATAGAAGTATTTCATGTTTCACATATCATCTTAGGGGCCAGATAAGATGTCAACGAGGGCCACACCTGGTACCCGGACCTCGAGTTTGACACATATGATACAAGACGTCATGGTCCACAGTGTCAAAAGCTTTAGACAGGTCTAAATAAAGTGCAGCACAGTAATCCTTAGCATCCAGTGCTTCGACAACATCATTAAAAACCTGCAGCCAAGCAGACGTTGTGCTGTATTATTTCCTGAACCCAGATTGATGGAGAGGTAAGATGTTTAAAGAATCCAACTTCTTGACTTGAGTATTTATCAATTTTTCTAAAACTTAGCTTGAATACAGAGTTTAGAGATAGGTCGATCGTTGTTCAGTGGTGGGGTCTCCTCCCTTCAATACAGGTAGAACAAAACCTGTTTTCCAAGCGTTTGGAACGGTATTTTGGCTTAAGAACAGATGGAAGATGTGAGACACTGGTTCTGCTACGATTTGTGCAGCTAGCCTTAAGAAATAAGGAGAAAGGTCATCAGGGCCTGTATATTTTCTAGAGTCCAGACCTTTTAACAGTTTAGTAACCTCACTAACAGAGAACAGTGAAAAGGAGAACGTGTGGTTAATGAGGAGTGACTTGAAGGAGAAATTTGATTTGTAGAAGTTTGGCTTGAACTTGCTGAACGTCCTCAAACCACTGACCGTGGCTGATCTTGTGTATATTTGCTGTGTATGAATTTAATGACAGCAGGGACTTATTAAACAAGAATGAATTTGTTGGTATTAAAAGTTAGTTTGCTCTCAGTTTTATGTGAGGACACGCTGACTGACACAGCCTTCTAAATCTTGTAAATGAGTTGTAAATGAGATAAAATCACTCTTGTAAATGAGTCCTCGAGGCTCAATGGGATTTACCGGTCTAAATAAAAGGTTGAATAAAAAAAATCTGAACTAATGACCTTCTGACAAACTTTTGCTCTTCAGATGTTCAAGACAAGTTCAAGCAGTTCCAATTCTTCTCCTTTACCTCACTGTCTTTATTTAGCCTTCTACCAGGTGGCAAATCAATAAAATCCTGAGCATGTCAGACCTTAACAGGCCTCCCCCCGCAGGCGTTTGAAGTCAGCGAGGGGCAGCCACGCTTCATTAGGTCCAGTCTGTTCCCATGTCCGAGTCCGTCCACAGGGATCACCTGAACACCTCCGTTCCCACACCCATCTCCTTCACTGCATCCGTCCCCACCTTACTTCTGTCCTGAGCTCTCTGTGCACCTCTGATCCAAATGATTCCTCCAAACTTCCCCGACGTTCTCCGGGGTCTTATCTTTGGTTTTCTCACAGTAAATGGACAACAAGTCAAACAGCCACATTATAGGAGCGGAGCTGATAGTGGCCTCTGTTTACTGTCGTTTTCATGCTCCACCTCACCACCGGCCTGTTTTCCCACACAGTAAAACACATGTACGCATGCATGCGCACACTCACACGCTGTTTAGGATGCTGTTTAGGGATGTGTGGGCACACGCTTTCAACGTCAGCTTGTTGCAGACAAACAGGATTCATTCTGGGAGTAAGTTCTTTACACAGATTTCAGTCACGTGTGCTGATCATGAATGAAGACGTATCACAGACTTCAACAAAGTCCATGCTCAATAATCCAGGTATACAATCCAACATTTTTCAGTCAGATCATCTGGACAAGATGACCTGACTGAAAAATGTTGGATTGTATACCTGGATTATTGAGCATGGACTTTGTTGTTTTCAACCAGTTTGACACGACTGTCATCAAGGAAGAGGGCCGGCAATGGAGTAAGCTGTTGGGGGAAGAATCAGTTTTGTTTCGTGTGTTTCGTTGACTGATGAAGCCTTCCGGATTGAAGGCGAAATGTTTCAGCACAAAAAAAAAAGAATCTGTCCAGATGACCTGACTGAAAAATGTTGGTATCACAGACTTCACTCCGAAACAGCTGTAAACAAGTCCAGAATAATAATTTATGCTCAAATAGGGAAACAATTAAAATAATCTGTTTAGTGTCACACTACAATAAGAGAAAAGTTGAAATGTTTTTACCACTTTCATTTTGCGTCTGCCAATATCTTGACACATTTCTAACCCATCCAACACTGCAAAGAGCCCAATGATGACCCTAACGCCCCTCCTCCCCCGTTTCCATCTGTCCCTGCCCCTCTGCTCATACCAGAGTTTACACAAAACAGAAAGCAGAGTGAGCACACCTCCTTTCACGTCTGCCATCACCTCACACGGGCCCAAACAAAGATCATAAAATGACCTTCTGCTCATGACAGCAGCAATCAGCACCAGCAGATATGATGGCTCCATCACCGCTGCCCAGGTGTGTGTTTGTGTGAGTCTGAAGCAAAGCAGGTAAATTAGGATTATGAGAATGTGTTGGCATTTAATAATGTGTAAACCTCTGAAAAAAAAAAAGACTTATGTCAGACAAATGGACAAGTGGACAACAGACCATCACAGAAATGGGATGAAAATTACTGAACATCTGGAGAAGAAACTTACAAGTTAATTAAGTTCAGCTGCGCTCCTTTTTAAAATAGAAAATGCTCACCTCAC